AGGAACCTTGAGGGGGAGTGATCATGCAATATTGGAATTCAACATTATGCAAGCACAAGCAATAGAACAAAGTCAAACTAGAGTCTTGGACTTTAAAAGAGCTAATTTCAATAAACTTAGAGAGAGCTTGGGAAGGATTCCATAGATGAGAATCCTCAAGGGGAAAACAATTCAAGAAGGTTGGGAAAATTTGAAAAGTGAGATTATAAAAGCTCAGTCTAGCACAATACCGATGAAGAAGAAAAATAACAGCTCTCAAAAGAAACCAGCATGGCTGCATAAAGAACTATCTGACAAATTGAAAGACAAAAAGGACAAGTATAAAAAGTGGAAAGAGGAGCACATAACTAAGGCAGAATATCAGCAAATAGCCCGAGCCTGTAAAGATGAAGTGAGGAAAACTAAGGCTCACAATGAACAAAAGCTTGCGACAAAAGTAAAAAATAACAAAAAAAGCTTCTTCCAACATGTTAAAAACAAGAAAAAAGTCAAGGAAACAATTGGCCCATTGCTGGGAGAAAGTGGCAAGAAGGTAACAAGCAACAGGGAGAAAGCAGACCTACTTAACTCATTTTTTGCAACTGTCTTTACACAAAGGGAAAAAACAGTCCAGCCTATCAAAAACAGCACCACAAAAAACAGATTAGGAACACAAGTTAAAATAGGGAAGAAAATGGTAAGTGAGCACCTGTCTACCCTAGGTAAAGGTAAAGGTTCCCCTCACACACATGTGCTAGTCGTTCCTGACTCTAATGGTGCTCATCTCCATTTCAAAGCCAAAGTGCCAGCGCTGTCTGAAGACGTCTCCGTGGTCATGTGGCTGGCATGACTAAACGCCAAAGGCACACGGAACGCTGTTACTTTCCCACTAAAGGTGGTCCCTATTTTTCTACTTGCGTTTTTTAGGTGCTTTCAAACTGCTAGGTTGGCAGAAGCTGGGACAAGTAACGGGAGCTCACCCCATTATGTGGCACTAGGGATTCAAACCACTGAACTGCCAACCTTTCGATCGACAAGCTCAGCGTCTTGGCCACTGAGCCACCGCATCCCTTTTCTACCCTAGACAAGTTCAAATCACCAGGACCAGATGGATTACACCCCAAGGTTCTGAAGGAATTGGCAGACAAGATCTCAGAACCACTGAACTATATCTTTCAAAGATCCTGGAGCACCGGGGAACTGCCAGAGGACTGGAAAAGAGCTGACGTACCATATTTTTCGGAGTATAAGATGCTTCAGAGTATAAGATGTGCCTTATTTTGGGGGAAGGAAAATAAGAAAAAAAATCTGCTTGGGAGACTCTCCGTTTGAGAGGCTGCATTTGCAGCCTCTAAAAGCTCCAAAAGGGTGGGGGCTGGCAGGTGGGCGGGGCTACATTCAGTGTATAAGATGCACCCAAATTTTCACCCTCTTAGGGTGAAAAGTGCGTCTTATACTCCAAAAAATATGGTAGTTCCCATCTTCAAAAAAGGAAAAAAAACAGGCCAGGAAACTACAGACCTATCAGCCTGACCACAATACCAGGGAAGATTCTGGAGAAGATAATCAAACAATGAATCACCAAACACCTAGAAGCAAACAAAGTAATAACCAAAAGCCAACATGGGTTTGTCAAAAACAGATCATGCCAGACTAATTTTATTGCATTCTTTGATAAAGTGACAAAATTAGTGGACCAGAGGAATGCTGTTGATATAATTTACTTGGACTTCAGTAAGGCATTTGATAAAGTAGACCATAACATACTACTAGATAAAATAAAAAAATGTGGGTTAGACAGCATCACCACCAGATGGATTCGTAACTGGCTGACCAACCGCACTCAATGTGTAGTCCTCAATAGAATTGCATTTACATGGAGGGAAGTATGCAGTGGAGTACCCCAAGGCTCTGTTTTAGGCCCAATACTCTTCAACATCTTCATCAATGATTTGGACGAGGAGATAGATGGGGAACTCATCAAATTTGCAGACAACACCAAGCTGGCAGGAATAGACAACACTCCAGAAGATAGGCCTGGAAGGATCTTGACAGATTTGAACATTGGGTGCTATCTGACAAAATGAAATTCAATGGTGAAAAAAGTAAGCTTCTACATTTAGGCAAGAAAAACAAAATGCACAGGTACAGTATATGTGGTACCTTGTTCAACAGTAGTAACTGTGAAAGGGATCCTGGAGTCCTAGTGGACAACCATTTAAATATAAGCCAGCAGTGTGTAGCAGCGGCCAAAAAAGCCAACACAGTTCTGGGCTGCATAAACAGAGGGATAGAATCAAGATCACATGAAGTGTTAATACCACTTTATAATGACTTGGTAAGGGCACACTTGGAATACTGCATCCAGTTTTGATCAACACGATATAAAAAAGATGTGGAGACTCTAGAAAGAGTGCAGAGAAGAGCAACAAAGATGATTAGGGGACTGGATGCTAAAACATATGAAGAACGGCTGCAGGAACTGGGTATGTCTAGTTTAATGAAAAGAAGGACTAGGGGTGACATGATAGCAGTGTTCCAATATCTCAGGGGTTGCCACAAAGAAGATGGAGTCAAGCTATTCTCCAAAGCACCTGAGGGCAGGACAAGAAGCAGTGGGTGGAAACTAATCAACCTAGATTTGCTTGCAATTATGCTGGTTAAATTTAATTTAATTGAAAAGAATATTTGATCTCTTCAGCAGAGTGCATTTCTTCAATATATTTTTTGCATTGATTATGGTAATTTAATTGTCCTAAGTTATAGTCTTGGGTTTATTGCTATCCCAAAAAGGTTTGTTTGTTCTTTCCTCTAGCTGTGCATGCTAATTAAATCATTTAGAGTCATGCATTTTTATCCAGGTTACCTATAGAATCATCTTTGTCCTGTTACATCATTTGCCCTACCTGGTTAAGCAGGGAAGGTATTCCTCATCAATCAAGGAATGACTGGCAGAATCCAGAAAGAGAGTTTTCCCTGCCGTTGCCCTGTGGGACACTCTCCCCCCCAGAAGTAGGACCACCTCTACTCTCATGCCCTTCCAGAAAGGTGTGAAAACATGGTTCTGTGGCCTTGTTTGGGATGCAGAGAGGAGCACATGGCACATAGAACTGGTTAGTGTCCTGAAAATTCTTCCCCACACCTTTTAATTAATTTTTAACCTCACTTGCTTCTTTGATATTTTATATACTGTTTTTATGTTTTTAATATTTCATTGTACAGTGCCCAGAGCCTCTCTGTAAGGGTGGTTTTAAATTTTTTTTTTTTTAAATTGATTTATATGCCGCCCTTCTCTGGAGACTCAGGGCAGCTTACAATGCGTTAAGCAATAGCCTTCATACTTTTGTATATTTTATACAAAGTCAGCTTATTGCCCCCACAATCTGGGTCCTCATTTTACCTACCTAAGAAAGGATGGAAGGCTGAGTCAACCTTGATAAATTTGATAAATAAATAAGAAAAATAAAGTTGTCTTTTGGGGATAGACTCTATTTGAAGTCTTTCTTTCTTGTACAACCTGGTATCTAGCACTATAATGACTATTTCTGGATATGATGATTTCTCTTTGGAAAAAAACTGAACCAGATCACAGATTTCCCTTTCAGTCTATCTGTATCATCCATGGTTCTGTGGTTCTGCCCTGTGCATTTTGCTACATATTCTTTGATTTTTAAAATGTAATTTTGTATGATTTGGTGTCTTTGTGTGTTAATGTTGGAAAGACCACTAGCCCTGCCAAATACTTTGGAAAGAAGAAAAAAAAGAAGGGGAGAGAGAAACAAGAATCTTGTGCATTCCAAATATACCTCATGCAGACTTTTGGCATGGATCCAGATTAATTTCAGGACCATTTACTTTTGCCATCTCATTTGATCCGATGGGATGACATACTTTGTGTCATATCAATTAAACAATGCCATTTGGTGGGACTCAGGAAGAGTGGCCCCTCTGTTGTAGCATCTGTCTTTGATTCATGATATCCCAAATTTGCTAACATTATGGAAGTTCTTGAAGACTGTGTTGTTCCCTCAGGCACTGGGTCTGAAGTTCAAGTCAGCCCATCACTTTTTGTCATGATTAGAGTTGTGTTCATTCACAACTTTTTTTTTTCTTACTGTATTTTGTTTTATTTGAAAGATGGGCATCTCTTTAGATTTATATAATTAATACCCAGTTGTGGGGGCAATAAGCTGACTTTGTATAAATATACAAAAGGATGAAGGCTATTGCTGAGCACATTGTAAGCCGCCCTGAGTCTCCGGAGAAGGGCGGCATATAAATCAAATTAAAAATTAATTAATTAATTAATTAATTGACCGTTTTTTGAAAAGTTTCCTATAAAAGGGCATTCTTGGAGTTAACTATAATTGGAAATGGACTATGCAGGAACCAGCAAAGAACATTGCCATAAAATTAGCAATTAGAAGAAAGCCCCTAAAAATAACACCGTAAAGAAATGATTATAGAATCCCTCAAACAGAAAATCAATAAAACCACCCTTAAGCATTCAGAAATGTAGTAAATTAGAGAGAATTTGTTGACCTGGTTTTCTGAGATGTCTCATTTCCTATGTTTACTTAAACTCCTTTATATTATATTGCCTTGTCACATAACTTCTAGAGAAATCTCAACAGATGGAACAGCTCAAGTGACAAAAACATTTTAATGGCTGTAGTATTTCCCAACTCTGAAAAGTGAGTTTGTGCCAGTTTCTGATTTTTTTTAAAAATAGTTTTTGTTAAAAGATTTTATGTATCTAATAATAAATGTGTTCAAAGAAAAAAATACATAGTAAATAGAAAAGAAAGGGAAAAAAACCCAAATCTTTCATTCAGATCAAGGATCATACATTCCAATGTGTCTCTCCATTGGTTACTCTTAATTGGTTACTCTTAAATTGGCAGAAAGGTAGGCTAATTCCTTCTCTTTATCTGTCTGTTGCTTAATATGCTGCTCAATCTATATGACTATTATTAAAATAAAAATATTAAACAGAGAATATGGTAATCAGGCTCTATTTATTTCATTTCATTCTCTATCAAGATGAATCACATTAAGAGGAAAGCATCGCTTTCAGTTGGCAGCTATGTTTGCATTGATCCAGTCGATGTATCTGCAGACTTTGGTGTAGACTCCAGGATAGCCAGGCAGGGCACAACCTATCCCCCAGGAGACAATGCCCTGGAGCACTCCATTACAAACCACGGGGCCACCAGAATCTCCCTAAAAGGCAAAAAAAATTGAAAACAAGAAAGGTTTGATATTCTAGTTGCCTATAAATAAAACTGAAAATTTGTTACTGAATTCTTTAAGCCTACACTAAAAAGTAGCTTCAGATCATAAGGAGACCTTGTTGAACGATTACCCAAAACATTTTTGTGGTCCCAGCTAAATTCTTCCAAGCTTCATAAAAAATTGGGAGTTTATAGAGGCTTTCTCCAAACCAAGAGGAACCTTTGTAATCTTCCATATTTTTCTTCAGTTTAAATCAAAATGTAAGAAAAGCGGCCAGATTCCCCTTCTTACCACATCAGTCTACAATGTCAACAGTGCCCTACAAGCAGCCCTACAAACTAACAAACAAACAAAAGTGTTACAATAAGAATGTTTCTTGGTCTCTTCATGTATATCCCTGTATCATAGGACTCAAAATATATGCTCATGAAGTGTGATATAAATGTATCAATTTTTTAAGTGAAAATTGTTTTTCCAACCAGAATTTCCTCCTCTTTCTCACCAGACAGCCAAATGCAAATAGTCTTTTGGATAACATGACAAAAGAAACTTATTGTTTGAGCTACTTGAAAACCATACAATTCCTCCATGCAGGGCAGAACATGCAAGAATAATAGTGAGATCAAGAAATGTATGCATATTTACCATGTAGTATGGCTGTAGTAGTAGTAGTATATGCATACATCAAGGAATGTATGCATATTTACCATGTAGTATGGCTGTAGTAGTAGTAGTATTTATTCTTATTATTATCTTTCTTCCCCCCCTCCTTATTTGGTATTATTGTTATTATGACTATCATTATTCTGTTGCTTGCATGTACACTAAGAGCTTTGGAGACAAATTCCTTGTCTATATAATCACACTTGCCCAAATAAAATATTCAATCTAATTCCAGCCTGAAAATTCTCAGTAAGACTTTCTTTCAGAGTTCCTGAGTAAATAATGTAGCAAAATTTTGGATTAAATTACTGTTACTTTAAATTTAATGGGTTGCAAAAGGAATTTGGACTGATTCAATTAAAATATCTTTATATGTTACAGTTTGGGCCAAACATATTATCAGTGTTCCAAATTCCAAAATTGTTCATATTATTGCAAAAGGTTTTAGGGGTTCCATAATATACAGTTAATATTTCCTGTACAATTGAAAAATAACACTAAACTAGACATCGGAAACTGAGAAGAAGTGTGGAACAAATAGTTGGAATGTGTGGTTGCAGTTTTAAAGAAAGCTGTCTTTGTATTTTACATTCTTAAGAAGCTCAAATTTATATAAAAGATTTGTTTGGGCATTTACCAGGCAGGGCTTTGATTCATGTTTAGAGTGTTCTACAATTGCACCACATGGATTCATATCCATAACAATGTTGATTAGAGGAGAAATGAATATTAAACATGTACATGTATTTTTAAATTTATATATTTTAGCCATAACTCAACATCTGTTGATATTTGAAGAACTCAGGTTTTATTGTGTGTGGTCTGCAATTAAAAATATTATCTTATACCAAAGGAAGCTCTTGCTACACGCTAATCTGAAAAGAGATTTCAAGAGGTTTCCACTTCTTACATATGAACAGCTTTTTATTAACATAGTGGAAAATCTGAACAGTTTTACTCTGTGTGGTCAGTATTTAACTTAGTGTTTAAAACACCAAGCATTTCTCATTCCTATTTTTTTAATATCCTTTTTTTTTCTTTCCTGTTTTTTCTTCTGCCTAGTTTTATTTCTGTTTTCTGCTTTGCTTTGGGGTAATGTTTACCTATTTTTGATGAAATGTTAAAAGAAAAGTTTAAATAATATAGCTAATCTGTAAATTAATCCTGGATGCATATCATTTCAGGTGATCAGAAAGCAAGTGTCCTCACCTGACAAGAGTCTTTGCCACCCTCTAGGTATCCAACACAGACCATATTTGGGGTAATTTGTCCTGGGTAAGCATCATTGCATTCCTCATCACTTAGGATTGGTGCATTCAGGCACTGCAGAAGATCAGGGTAGTATACTAGAAAAAAGAGAAAGGAAAAAATAAGGAAGTGGATGGCAGCTCATGAAAATACATGTTTTATATTAACATTTGTTTGTCTTAAAAGATGCCACAAGACTCTGTTTAAATGATCAGCAGCAACCCTGTAATTCAAGACAAGTAAAAGCAACTAGCTGGTTACATAATTTTAGGGAATATGATGTCTGAGGTGAGGTAACCAACTCAATACAAGAAAACTGCCTCAAGAAGGAAAAAAAAAGTGGAATTTGATGCACATTCATCTTCAGGGCTCTAAAACCATCCAAACCATCATTTATAGGCTTACATTGGTTCAAGGCTCAGTCCAAGAATTGTTTTCTTCTTAATGTTAGAACTTAAACCCGGAATTTCATAATTGATTCAAGATGTCCCTGAATGTCTCTATCCCTGTGAATACTTAAAGCATTTAACAATTCAACAATGAGAAACACATTACTAGATTTAGGAAGTGTTGTTTCCATTTGGTGATGCAGAGGGCTTAGGGAATGGCCTTGAAGGATAAGAGGCAAAGCTGCTACCAAGGCAATAGTCAGATAAGAGGGACTTCAGCAGAGGCCAAGAAAATAACTTGAAAAACTGTCTCATATAAGCCCCTTCACAATTCACATGCGGATAAAATAAGGGAAGGTGAAGCACATTCAGTTTGCAAGATTGTGTTATTATTATGATTTGTTATGCAGACAGCCTGATGTTTAGGATGGATTTGACATTTTAATCCACCTACTGATTCCTTCCAAAGGACCTGGGATGGGGAGATGTTGTTCTTGTTGCTAAAAGTTATACGCAGCCTGACTCCCAGCAGCTCTAGGTAGTTTGCAAATTAAAAACAAGCAACAAGACAAGAAACCCAAAACAAAGATGACAGAGAAAACAAATCTGGATAAGAAAAAAGAAAAGGAAGAAAAGAGGGCATCAATCATCCCCATCAAAGACCTGAGCAAATAGCTATATCTTCAGGGCCTTTTGAAATATAAATGGTGGGAGCCATTTGAAAAAGTTGACCTACATGGCATTGGTCTCTTAGTCTGGTCTATGTTGTCAGGCTGACAGGCAGGTAGCAGCAATTACAGTTCTTCAGTCATATACCTGGGACTCAGATTAAGTTAACCAATTCTTGTTAATACTCACCACCATTGCTGAGAGTATTGCCCCATCCCGAAATCAAGCAACTAGTACCAACTGCTGCACATCCATTACTCAAAGGGATAGGTGAGACACTTGCATCAATAGTGACAGGTGTTGCCAGCTTGATGAGCATGATATCATTATCCAAAAGCCAAGAGTTGTAGTATTCATGGACAATTATTTTTTCAGGTTTTTTAATCTGCTCGCTCGCTTCATCTTCCACAATATTGTACTCTCCAAGTCTCACATCCATGCGGCTGAAAGTTAATGTTGTAGCATTATATTTGTTGTACAAAGCAATGCCTGATCTCAACCTGAAAAAAAGCTGTGAATACTTTATGCTAAAGAACAAGCAATCAGATCAACTAACATAGTTTTAGTAGAGACTCCAATCTAAAATGGGAACTTTGCATGTATTCATGATTAATATCGTAAATTTCACAAAGACAGAAGTTAAAACAATTCTAGCCTATATAGTGTTGAATATGAATTTAGAGAGTCTACTTTCACCCATTTCCACAACCATGCAAATTCTGGTATTAACCAAGAAAGTCTGACGTTTGCTTTATCAAATTCTATGCTTTCCCCCAAAGCATCTGAAAAAAAATATTCTTGAATTTTGCATACAAACAAATATAGTTACATGTTAAAAGAATGTGCATGTGAAGGAATTTACATTTTAAAAAGCCCATCTAATAAAATGCAAATTCAAAGAAAAGTAAGGTGACCTTTTTAAAGCTGTTTAGACATTACATATAACTGTTGCACAAATTAATGGAATATGCATTACAAGGCCTCCAACCATTCTAAAATTACAGAAGCTGGAAAGAAGGTATTATTATCTATTCACAACAATGTGAAGTCACAGCAGACAATTCTTTAACTGGTGTTGGCCTTCATAGCACAAAGTTCTTTCTAAGAACCTAAGCTGTAGTGGCTCTCAACAACTTTGGGTGGTTCACAACAATATAATAAGAATTTAGTGATGGAGGTGGAAGTTAAACTTTGCCCTTAAGCATAAAGTAGTGTTTTCTCATAAGACAAAATGCAAGAGAAATAAGGCATGAACCTTCCATTTTCAGATTTAGGTTCAGGTTTTATGCTCTAAGTATACATAATGCATACTGAAGCTTCAAAGCCCTCTTAAGGTGCAAACAAAATAGCACAAGACTATTCCTGACTTTTGGTAGATAGTATAAAACTTCTGGCTCAGCCTTAACTGTCTATACTGTAATAGTTAGAAACAGACTGTTTGCTTTCTAATCAAAACATTTTCTGCTTGCTGAATTTCATCGTTGGATCACTTCCATGATCTTTGAGATCCTGAATAGGATTCTACTCTCACATACTGTATCCGGATGCATTAAAAAAATATGCCCCTTGAATCAGTTCCATGACAGGCTATTTCTGAAGGAACATGTAACTTTCAGGTAATGCGTCAGCTTAGCAAGTGATGTAAGGTGCCCTTACAGACCTTATCATTACATTTGCATTCTATGTAAGTTTTTTTTCTGATGAAGTGTAATTGCTTTATTTAAGATATTTCCATACCACTATCATAATAAATATATCAGAGTAGACAGTTATAGTCCTGTAAGTTTACCTTGATATTTTTTCAGCTTTGGGATTGATTTTTTTTTTTATTTTAATTTGATTTATATACCGCCCTTCTCCGGAGACTCAGGGCGGCTTACAATGCGTTAAGCAATAGCCTTCATACTTTTGTATATTTATACAAAGTCAGCTTATTGCCCCCACAAACTGGGTCCTCATTTCACCTACCTTAGAAAGGATGGAAGGCTGAGTCAACCTTGAGCCTTGGAGAGATTCGAACCAGCAGTAAATTGCAGGCAGCTGTGTTAATAACAGGGTGCGTAGACCACTGTACTATCAAGGCTTTTTAATAATAAAACACCAGACTAGGAATAAATAAAAGTGGAATCACAAGCATGCAAGTCTTTACTGAATGAATATGACATTCATTTATTGTTGATGCTTTTTTAACTTCCATGTATAGACATCTGCTTTTAACAGAAATGGCTTTAAGATCATCATAAAAATACTCTTCACTCACGAGTTGTAACAATGGGCAGCTGAAACGACCCATTGTTCATTGATGAGGGAACCACCACAGAAATGATAACCAGCATTCAGTGAAACTTGATAAGGGATAGCATTTCTCTGGCAGGTATATCCTCCAACAATCTTGTCATCATCATCCTCAAAGGGGGCAGCAACTGATAAGAACAGGAACATCAAAATGATTAAATACAACACTATTATGTAGCAAGCCAACTGCAATGTGTGTTCCTACTGACACCATGAAGTAATGGGTGTTATTTATAGAGAAGACCACTACTCCTTGGTAATTTGAGGCATGTTAGCCTCAACTGAGATTACTTTATAATGGACTATTGAATGATCGAATTATTTCAGCATTCCTAATATATGTTTATAAGTTCCCCAAAAGGTTATCATCAGCTGTGGTTTTTGCTTTCTCAGATTCATATGATGCACGCAGGTTTATGTAGATGTGTGAAACATACCTGCAAGTTGTGGGAGATTGGAGCAATCTACTATATGCTTCATACATAAAATTATACACATATGAATAATGAACACTCATATATACACATATAAGTACATACAGAAAATTGGATATCAGAGTGAATAGTTCTAGGCATCAAGCCATCTTCGAATGTTTGTACTTCATATATTTTGGGGGAAATAGCAGAGAGGAAACAATGAGAATTGTTACCAAAAAGCAAGAGCAAAATCAAATGATAAAACCTGATTTATACTTAGGTGAATCTTCAGAAGAGATAAAAGTTTGGGACATTTGTGTGTGTATGTGTTTCTACTGTTAATAGATTTAGCTTTAAGTCAAATACAAAGGAAATTTAGGACTCTCTTTCAAGTCAGACATACAAGGAATTTCACTTAAATTGAATCCAAAAAAGTCTTACAAAGGCTTCCTTGTGTCAAGGGAGGTTTCTTTACACTTCTTACAGCAAAACATGTATTCATTAGGGCTTAGCACATCTTAGAAAATTGCAGGGTTCTAAATGTTTCAGAGAAAATAGTAGAAGTATATAAATAAAGGCACTGCCCATGGAGAAAATGGCAGTCTGGCTTAGGCATTCAATTGATTCATGTGGTTATACATAAAATTATACACACATAAATAATGATTCAAGAATATCCTTGAATCCAAAGGATACCCATCAGCCTTTGCTTAATAAAGTCTAGTTAGAAAACTAACCAGAACTGCCTGGAAATACAGTAAATCTTTGATTCAAAAGATGTAATGGGAAAAGGGAGGATACTTTAAAGCTATATATTTGAGCCCTAAAGCACCCACTCGTTTAGTGCCCCCGCTGAGGAAGATGGAGAGAAAAAGATGGCTGTGCCCATTGTACCCGCCAACTTCAGAGACTGTAGAAGAACCAAGTATCTGTTTTAAAACTCACGTGCTGCTCCGAGGAAGGCAAAGATCCACAGGACTTTCATTCTGTCTGTTGGTATTTTGTAAATTGGAATGGGATGTCCTGAAGGAATCTCTCCCTATTTATACCCTTCCAGGGATCTTATCTTTATGGCCCAAAGCCACAACAGCTCCTTACTTCCCAAGGTCTTGTATAAGCATAATTACCAATTAATCATGTATTAGACATTTTCATGATATACTATAGTGATAGCATTATTCCAGGTGTCTTAAATCTAAAGGAAAGCATTAGGTAGATACTCACGCACCATTTGACCTGTGTGCTGGGTCTTCCATACAGCCCTCTGTCTACCTACTTGAATGTTTCTGAATGTTCTAAGTTTTTTTTTGGTTTGCAAAGCCCAAGCCACATTTGTCCACATCAAATGGACAAGATATGGCTTCCAAAGCTCAAATCTCTTCTTAGCTGGGGCAAAATCACAGAAAAATTTCCCATACTTATGTCAGATTATATTATTTTGGAGACATAGGTAAGAACCATAGCTTTTTTGTCTACTCTTCATTACATACAGCAGGGTAGATACCTTTTAACAGCTTGATCCACTTGTGGTCCTGATCCATAGACTGTACTGGCAATTGTCCCAGTTTGCCCAGTTCATCTTGGTTTTGGGGAGATCATCTCACTCAGAGTCAAATCCCTGGATTTGATTGCATGATGTGAAAGAACTGTCCAATTAACGACACTCAAGGTCTTCTCCATCAGTACCAGCACCATAACAGCCACCTAAAGAAGATATATTCTTCTGGATTTCCATAGGTTTGGTTAAGGACATGGTCTGCCCGCATAAAGGTTTCTGGTCTTCCCTGAAAATGTGATGGAGTCATTGAGACAGAAGGTGGCATGGCGAGAAGAACAACTTACAGAACACAGAGGCTGGAAGACCTTATGTAGTTTGAGGTTTGAGTGATGCATTGCAGAATAGTGAAAGCAGGAGTGTTTATCACAATAATTGTCAATGTTTGGTATTTTAACTCCCACTAGTCACTGGAGCAAAGAATGTGGATCGGGCAAGAAGCGCCCCTTTATTCAAATATGCTATTTCTAAGATTAAATGTCTTGATGTATTTATTACTTGTGGTAAGTGTAGACAAATGTGGAAAGTCAAAAAATTTAACCTCTCCCCAAACTGCTGGACTCTCTTGGTCCAATACACAAAATTCAGTGTCAATCAGAATTGTCTTCAGCTCTACACACAGAAACTTCCATAAGACCTTAAACCCTGTGCCATCATGTGAACATTTCTCTCATCTAAAATTTCACATAAGAACATTTTTCACAACGGACCACCATTCTGTGCTCACAGATGACTGAGGCATAGCATGCTGTCTTATCTAGATCGGTAGATATCTTGGTCAGGACTTAGAAAAATCTTCTTTTACCACAAGTGTTCTTGTTTGATTTACAACCTTATGCCCAGAAGAGGCTTCTGCAAATGAATTGCCCAAGCACTGTAAACTTCCTTTAATATTTCCAGTAGCTGATGAAAGAGTTGGTTGAGATCTCTGGAAATGTTGACTGAGACTTCAAAGTGATGCCAAACAAAGCAATAGAGTTGCTTTGTTTTAAAAAGCACAGTGTGTGTGGTCATTGCTTCCCAAAGTAGCACTGAAGCGTGTTTTGTATGAAGAGCCTTCATTAAAGGAAGGTACTGAATCAAAGCTTTGCATAGATTTACAGAAAAATGTAAAATGGGATGAAATTAAATCCATGTGTTCTTCTAAAATTCCTGAAGGCTCAAGTACAGGAATCTGCTATCAT